CTTCCTCTTCAAGGGGGCACGTGGAACCCAGTAAATAAATGTCTCATCTGTGTGGGAGCTGCAGAGCCAAGAGTATAGGACATGGGGACTTCTCCCATAGTTCCCAAAGCTTCATGTGAGTAAAGATGCCCAAATATACATCCTAACTACTGATGGCTCATGAGTCCACTGACAGTGACCCTCCAGCCCCCAATCAGTCACACTTTTGAGGTCTTTGTGAACACCAGGTGAAAAGATATCTCCTTTTCCATCACTTTCACCCCCATCCTCAGGCTGCCTCCCTTAGTCCCTGCCCACACACCATATCAATACTGGGGAAGGAGAAGTAGCAGAGAAAATAATTGTTAGGGTCCTTTTAAACTTTAGGATTCTTTAACTCTCCTTTCAGGTCTCAAGGTGATCACTAGGCCTATGGCTGAGTTATAAATGGGCTACATTGGGAGCTCACCTTCTGGATAGTGGATCTGGAGTGCTGTTGAAAGAGAGTTAGGGTGCTGTAGGGACAGAGCATTGAATTTGGAGCCAAGAAGATCTGGGTTAGAATCCTGACTAAGGTAAACTACTTAATTTCTATGAGTCTCAGTTTCCTCTTCCTTAAAATGAATGAGAGGGGGAGGTTAGACTTGATGATCTTAAAGAATATGGTCAGCTCCAAATCTGTGACTCTATGAATACATGGAACCTCATGCTAAGATGGAAGGAACATTGTACAGAGTCAGAAGGCTTGGGTTCAAGTTCTTATTGCCTATACGACTTTGGACAAGTCATTTCTTCCTCTCTGAAATTCAATATTCTTTTCTATAAATTAAATTTAGACTTGAGGAACTATAAGATTTTTTGCAGCTCTAAATTTTATGGTCCCATGAGTATGATAATGGCAATCAGGAGACCAGGATTATAGTTCTAACTCTGTTACTAAGTCCCTTAGTAAATCCCTTCTTTTCTTGTGACCTCAGTTTCCTCATCTGTAAGATGAAGAGATTAGACTTCAGGCCCTCCCAATTCTGACATTCTACATCCTAAGGGCCCTCCCAGCTTTGACATCCTGTGTTCTAAGGGTCCCCCCAGCTCTGACACTGTGTCCTAAGGGCCCTCCCAGCTCTGACATTCTCTGTTCTAAAGGCCCTCCCAGCTCTGATGTCCTGTGTTCTAAGGGCCCTCCCAGCTCTGACATTCCATGTTCTAAGATCCCTCCCAGCTCTGACATTCTGTGTTCTAAGGGCCCTTCTAGCTGTGACATTCTGTGTTCTAAGGGCCTTCCCAGCTCTGACATTCTGTGTTCTAAGGGCCCTCCCAGCTCTGACATTCCGTGTTCTAAGGCCCTCCCAGCTCTGACATTCTCTAAGGCCCTCCCAGCTCTGACATTCTGTATTCTAAGGGCCCTTCTAGCTGTGACATTCCATGGTCTAAGCACCCTCCCAGCTCTGACATTGTGTATTCTATGATATGTAGTGGGTACATATGAGGGACAGAGATAAGGTAAATAGTTCGCCCATAACTCCTAGGCTCCATCTCATTGCGTTATAATCCTGTTGTATCCGTATGAAGACAAGCATCTCATTTTAAAGTCAGAGAACTCTGCCCCCACCAGCCCTGCTGCCAGGGCCAGGAAGCTCAGTGCACAGTCTGGTTGTTGATTGCCTAATCTCCTGGGGTGCCGGTAGATGCCTGGAATGCTCCATCGATAGCACACAGAACACCCATCAATTTCTCAACCACATAATGATCCCCCTTCCTTTGGACCAGTAAGTAAAGTTGGTATGTTTCAAATTTTCAGACACACCCATGGAAAATGGGGTCATTAAAGGGAAAGGGGGGGAGGGGAAGAAAAACCATAGACCTTTTTATGGTAAAGAATACGTTCTCTCTTTCATCTGGGGCCAGGCCACCTTCTTGGAATGGAGTTGAAGAGCAATACTAGCCTTTGTAGACAATTGCACCAACTCTGGCCTATGGGCCCCTTTGGCCCAGGGTAGAGGGAACTGGGTGGGCACTTTCATGGAAAAAACAGTTCCAACGGGGACTGGAGTTTCTGAAAGGGCTGTTGGCTGTGTCCTGGCCATAGGGGGTGTTGGAAATATCTGTGATCCCTAGAGCACCACAGCTTATGAGACGGATGGCAAGCTTGGGGCTGGGGAGGGCCCTGGACAAGGCTGACTCCTCCTGGGGGCCCTGCTGCGATGCCCAGCGCTCAGCTGGCTCTCTAGGGCTCTGAGAAGCTCCTCCTCCCCTTCCCTCCTCCCCACCCCATTCTGGGGTTCCAACCTCTGGAAGCTGGTTAGAAGAGTGTGGTCATCGACAGCTGCACATTCTTGTCGGGTTCCATCACCAGCTGACAGTGCATATCGTAGGACTGGGAAACCGGCTTGTGGTGGGCAGGGAGTGAGCCGGCGGTAGTTCAGACCAAAAGTCAATTCGAAGAACCATAGATGGTCTTCCTTTTTACTCTGAGGCCAGAGGAAGTTGTAGTGTTGACTCCAAGCTAGACTTCTGACCTACCCATCCACCCCCCAGCCCCAGGCCCTGGGTACCCTCCCACATCTTGATAGCCCTGCCACCCCTAACCCCCACACCTCACCCCCAAGATTCCCATCTTCCCCTCTGTTAACTGTAAATCCATCATAGATCCATAGGCCAGTGACAGAGCTGGAAGAGAACGTTAGAGCTGAAAGGGAACTTAGCGTATAGGCAAAAGAATGATCATTTCCGGGATGTCCACAGACCAAGAAATCCCCCACCGTGGGGTTCTTGTGCTTGGAGAACGCAGAGATAAGGAGCAGCTTCCCAGACCTGGGTCCAGTTGGACACACGACTCAAGGTAGTTCAGCCAGAACAGTGTCCCGGTGTATGGCTGAGGAGTTCCATGGTGTACACGGTCCTGCAAATATTCCAAACGAATGTGTGGATGGGGTTGGAGTGGGGGTGGGGGAGCCAGCAAAGCCTCTCCCTTCAATGAGAACCCAATTCAGTGTAGAGGCAAAGACCCACAGCCAGACCAGGTCATCAGAATCAGGACCCGCTTACCAACAACTCTCATTATGTCGTTGTGTCCGATTCCATGACCCCATTTGGGGTTTTCTTGGCAAAGATACTGGAGTGGTTCATTTTACAGATGAGGAAAATGAGGCAAACAAGATTATGTGACTTGCCCAGGGTCGCACAACTAGTAAGTGTCTGAGGCTGGATTTGAACCCGAGGTGAGTCTTCCTGACTCCAGACCTGGTGTTCTATCCACTGCACCACCTAGCTGCAGAGGCTAGCATAGTCTTGACCACGGTCGATGCTGCTCCTTAATGAGGTATTTCTATCATAAACCATAAGTCCTTTCAGCTTTTGCATGTGAGTGTACTTGTCTCCTCTTCCATCCTGAAACCTTGTTCATGCTTCCCTCATTCCAATGTGTTTTAATGATCTTCTTCCCCTCTGGTTTCTGTCACAAAATGTGCGTCCTTGTTAACTGTCAACCCCTAGGACATCTATCACGCTACTGGGGTAGAGGTAGGAAGGAGGTAGGTGAAGGGAGAGAAGGGGCAGTCGATGCTGACCCTCAACATCCCAGCATCTTCTTTGCCCACCAGTCAGAAGACCTTCAGGCTTCTCAGAATAGTAACATCCCTAGCTAGGGTCACTCTGCTTGGTGGGTTTCAGAAAGGAGACCAGGCTTATCCGGGCTCCGTTCTCAGAACCTGGGCTTTGTGGAAATCAGCCCAACTGGTGTGTTTCCACAGCATCCTTCTCGTTGCCCCCCTCCCGCAATGCCACTGGAACACATCCTGGCAACCCATGTACTGGGCAGTCACTTTGCAAGAACCATGAATGGTGGAAGGGGGAAGGGGGGGGTGGAGGACGGGACACCAGAGACCAGCCCTGAGCACTGTTTATATTGCGGCATATGCTTTGAATTTTTACTTAATACTAATTCATATAAAACCCCCGTCAAGAGCCACCCATCCACACATATGGAAGTGGTCTCACGAGTAACAATAGTCAGACGCAAAGGCCCGGGGTCGGCCCTGCTGGTGGGATGAGAGTTGCACCACAGACAAGTGTGGGTGTGGGAGAAGGGCCAGTTCAAGGAAGAAAACCCCTTCATGCCCATAGATGATGATTTCCATCAACCAATTAGCCATCCATATTATTCTCAGCCCTGGCAGGAGGACACTGTCATTAATTAAAAAGGAGGATGAGAAGAAAAAAAATTCTCCTTAGCTCCACACCCCCTCTCCACCATGCTAACTGTTTTCAGAACAGAAAACTAACTGGGCCAACAGTATAGGCTGTTCCTTACCAGCCAACACAGAAACTATCTTTTTTCTTTTTTTTTCTTTCTTTCTTTTTTTTTTTTTCAAAAGAAGAAGGAGCCACAGTGAGATCCTAGGGCCAGGGTGACGTTCTGGGTCAGGTGACTTCCCCCGGGCCAATGAGCCCATGTTGGGCTAAAGGCTTTTTCAGCCTGGGGAGCTGAGGTTGGCTTGACACTCTGAAGGCCTCTTCCCCAACCACAGAACCACAAGCTGGGAGTCCTCTGCCATCCCCAGGGGTACCTGGGTGGGAGGGAGGGTTGGCTTCTCTCCACACCCTCATCCCCACTCCCCTGCGCTGGGGAGGGGGGGCCTAGCCTTGCCTACACCTCTCACAGGTTGGGGAGGGGGTGCTGTTCTGTCTGCCTTAGGGGTAAGTTTCATTCATTCCTCTGGGCCCTGGCCCCCAGCCTGTCCTGCCCGCTGCTGCCTTGGGTCTCCCCCCTCCTGCCCGCTGCTGCCTCTGCTCTCGCCCTTTCCATCACTAATGATAGTCTGTGCATATACTTCTGTTGAACACTCTGTGGCCAGACATTCCTGTGGGACTGAGAACCCAAATTCTTGGGTACAAATAGGCATTAGTTTCCTCTGGGATCTCTCTCTCTCTCTCTTTCTCTCTCTCTCTCCCTCTCTCTCTCTCTCTCTCTCTCTCTCTCTCTCTCTCTCTCTCTCTCTCTCTCTCTCTCTCTCTCTTTCTTTTGTTGTTGTTTTTCCCCCCTCCTTTTTCAAGTTATTTTCAAAAGTAGCAGAAACACACACACACACGTCCCAGTTCCAACCCAACCCCCTCCAGGACTGAATTCTCGCCTCCCTCAGACCAGAATATGGCATCCAACAATATCTTTGATTCCTTCACGACCTATTCGCAGCCCTTCATTCGCGGTGAGTAGAGAAATCCCTATATAGCTGCCGGCTGCCCGATGCCCACTGCCCACTGCTGGGGCGGTAGTGGGGTGGGAGTGAAAAGGTGGGCTGTCTGGGGGGCATTTCTCCACCTTACACTGTCTCTTCTGAAGGTGGTCCGCCACTGTTGCGTCTCAACTCAAGCCCCCCTTTCCCTGCACCTCCTTCCCACCTACCCCTCACTGCCACCCCGAAGATATGGCAGTTGATTCTTGGAATGAGTTTCTTGTGTTGAACACTGGAACTCTCCCCTTAGAGAATCCCCATAGATGACTTGAGTGATATTACTAGCTTCTCTTTGGGGGTAGAGGATGGCTTTGTCCTCAGCCTGTGGAGGCTGAGAGGGGCTAGGCCATGACCATTTGAAGGGTGGGTAGTGTCTACTCAGTAAATCAAAGACCAGTGTTCCCGGGTTTCTGGGAGGGTTCCATTGGCTAATTTGGGAGGTAGGGGACACCAGTGTCCCCTCACCCACTGACTATGTTCGTAAGACCTTTCACTTTGCTCTGACTTTTGGGGCAAACATTGTCCTGATATGGCCCCAGGGACAGAGAAGGGAGCTTGGCCTCTGCCTTTACTTGCTAATGACCGTGCATGCCACAAACAGGCTGAGGGACTGGGTTTGGGCTTCTAAGGAAACCCTCTGGACTATCTCAGGCTAGATTCTGAACAAAGCAGGAAAAATTGGACCTGAGAAGTCAGGCAATATTTCTAAAGTTTTTGTTTCAAGGATTATCATCCTCAGGGTAGGAAAAAGGGAGAGGAAAGCAGCCAGAGACTGGTTGAGAATTCAGGTAACTTCTGCCCCTTGCCAGAGGCAGAAGGGTAAGAGAATAATCTTCCCTACAAAAGGTCTGTGGTCTCTTTTGCTGGGCAAGGAGAAGGTGTTTTACTATAGAAACTTGACAAGATCTGCTGGGGGTGAGGGGAGCGAAAAGAGCAGAGCTGCAGGCGTATCTCTTTGAGCATAGTGACACAGGCCGAATCCTTCCCTTGGGTTGCAGGGACCTGGCTGCCGGCTTCCCCAGTGCAGGCCACGCAGAGAGACCTGCTGATGTTTCCGATGGACAAGCAATTACTGGAGAGATGTTTCTCTCACCTTATCATGGCATAGTTCAACCAAAGCTGCTGGTTTTCTCAAAGACTATCAGAAGCCTAAATGATCACACTCAGAACCCCTTATGAGTGCATAGCGTGAGGTACTGGGATGGGGCTAGGAGACCCATTGTAGCAACCAATGTTATATAGGAAATAACTCCACTCCAGGATCATAGAATGTCAGACCTGGAACTTTGGAACATGGAGCATCAGAGCTGGGAGGACTCTCAGAACGCAGACTGTCAGGGCTAGAAGTGAACTTAGAATCTAAAATGTCAGAGCTGGGAGGGTTCTTAAGACATAGAGTTAGAACTGGACCAAATCTCAGGCCACCAGGCCCAACGTCTTCATTTTACAGATGAGGAAACTGAAGCTTAAGGAGGTTGTGTGATTTGTCCGGTGTCTGTATCCCAAAGGTGGGATTTGAACCCAGGACCTCCAACTCCAGAGCTCATGCTCTTTCTGTAATAGCATGTAAGAAGGGACCCTAAAACATAAAGGAGCTTAAGACATAGACTCTTAGAACTGTACAGGATTTTTCATCCCCGTAACATCTACGGGGCATAAATATTCAGAACTCGAAGGCCATCTAACCCAATTTCTTCATTTTACAGATAAGGAAATTGACTAGGGATGTTGTCCCAGCATACCCAGGTAGAGGACATCAGAAGGGAGGGTTGAACCCACATCCTCAGACTCAAGCTGGTATTCTTTCTGCAATAACTTTGTCCAAGGCACCTTAAAATGTAGAATATCAGGGCAAGAAGGGACCTAAGGCTATAGAATGTTGGAATACAGAATGTGAGATCTGGAAAGGACCTTAGAGCACAAACTACCAGAGCTGGGAAGAACCCAGCAAGTGAGGAAAGGGAGGCCGAAAGAGGAGGCTTGGGGGAACAGAGTTTCAGCGGCCAAGTTAAGACTTGGACTGAGTCTCCCAGTTGCCCGGATAGTGTTCTTTCCATTATGATAAAAAGCACTAGCAGGTTTGGGTGCACAGGAGCAGTGAACTAGAGGCCAGCAGCAGGTTGAGCTACCATTTCCTAGTCGGTCCACCTGTGTCCGACTGGCCAGCATTTCACTGCATCCAGTCATTTGATCTTGTGAGCCAAATCCCAGACTGCATCTCTAGAAGCCAGGCCCAGGTGGGACAAGACCCTGGGGGCCAGAGGAGAGGAGGCCCCAGCTTCACAATTGGGAGACTGATGTCATTTGCCCAGTTGCTTCCTCTTTTCCCCAACTAAGTCTGAACCGGGTGACAGGCCAGCAGGACTCCTAAGCTGGATCAAGGAGGAGGAGGAGGAGGAAGAGGCTGCAGATTCAGGAGGCCCAGGCCGCCAGCTGCGATTGCCACCTTCAGGTTAGCTGGGTCCTCTTTCCCCAGACCTGAGCAACCAGCAGAAAGTGGTCCTAGGAAAATGCTGGGCCTGGGGCAGTGTGTGAGCTCTCTGGAAGCTGGGTGCTCCTTCCCCTCCCTCCTTCTAGGATGCTCTTGTTTTATGGAAGTCCCTTTGTCCCCTCACTGTGCTAATGAAAGACAGCTCCGATGGCAAGAAAATAAGGGTTTATAAAAAACATTTGCACCACTCTTTGTGATCTCTATTCCCTCTTCTACAAGCCAGATGAAGAAACACTAGGGTTTGACTCAGTGTTCTCAAGACAGACACGTTCCTGTCTGTCTTAAATTTAAATTCCAAAATGATCACATAAGTTCAATCAATGACCAAGAAAATCACGATTAGGTGACTAGATAGCTAGCCATCTAAGTGGTGAGAAAACGGGACTTGGGATCAGAAAGACCCTAGTTCAAATCCAGTCTCAGACACTTATTAGCTATATAGTAGGCAAGTGGATTCACTTCCCCAACTCTGGTTTCCTTATCTGTAAAAAAAAGAATAACAATTGCATTGACCTCTCCACGGTTGTTCTCAAGATAACATGAGATAATATTTGTAAAGTTTGTTTTGCAAACCTTAAAATGTTACATAAATGCTATCTATTATTATTATTATGATTATTATTATCATGCCTATATTAAGCACCAATTATTAAAGCACAGCAATGGGAAAAGAACTGGATTTCAAGTCGGAGAGGATGTGAGTTCAAATCACACATCTGTCGCTACCTGTGTGGCCTGGGCAGGTCCTTAACCTCTCTGTCCTCAGTTTCCTTTTCTGAATGGGATGGATTACATAGCCTCTAGGGTCCCTTCTGGGGCTAAATCTATGAGCCTCTGTCCTAGGGACTGAGAATACCAAAAACAAAAAGAAAGAAAGAAACAATCTTTGCCTTCAAGGAACTGGCATTCTACTGGGAAGAACAATATTTACATACATAAGGATATACATTGTCTCCAGTTTATTTGTACTGTCTTTGGCATGTTATCTCCTCCATTAGCCTATGAGCTACTCGAGGCAGAGACTGTCTTTTGCTATTCTTTGTAGCCTCAGAGCTTAGCACAGTGCCTGACACATAATAGAGGCTTAATAAATATTGGTTGACTGACTGAAAAAACACACACAAAAAAAAAATAGATTCAAAACAAGTAGATGGTAATTTAGCGGAGAAGAGAAGGCAGGCACTAGCAGCTGAGGGGAATTAGGAGATGCCTCATGTGGGAGGGGATGCTTGAGCTGAGATGTGAAGGAAATTGGGGAACGTAAGAGATGGCAGAGAGAAAGTAATACATTTTGAGCATGAGGACCAGGGGGGAGATGGCAGGACCTGTGAGAGAAATAGCAAGAAAGATGGTTTGTCTCCAGCAGAGAGTGGAGTAGCTTATAATACACCTGGAAAAGTAGGGTGGATCCAGGTGGTGGGAGCTTTAAAAACCAAACAGAGGAGTTTGTGTTTGATGCTAGAGGTAATAGGCAGCCACTGAAGCTTGTTGAGCAAGTGAGTAACTTGGCCAGCCCCATGTTTTAGGACACTCACTGGCAGTTTTGTAGAGGATGAATTGCAGAGGGCAGGGAGACCCACCAAAAAGCTGGATGTAGCCAAAAGATGAGAAAGTAGAAATAGCAAGACTCGGTAATAGATTGGATAGAGGGGCTGATGGGAAAGAAGAGTCAAGGGTCTGCCATGTTCTATCCACACCATTCCATTATCTTCATGGGGTGTAACAGAAGGCAGCAGATGGAGCGATCTCATCCTTCCTTACCAGCCTGTCCATGGAAATCACTGTCCAGAGAGAATCTTTCTCTAAGGCTGACTCTGACTCCCACCTAAGTGGGCTCGTCTGCAGGATGGATTGTGGAGGATGTGAGGTCCAGGTGGGGTAGGAGGAAGAATTAGCTAGATCCCCAGTGTGGGAATGGGGGCGTTGGTGTGCCATGTGCAGCTGGACATCCCACACTATGCCTTGGAGGGCAGCACCCTGGTACTCCATTACAGGGACCCCGAAGAGCACACTCCCAACTCAGTGGAGGTTAGGGCCCCGGGGGCCGAGTGTGCAAGGAGATATTTCTGAGTTGATACCCTTTGGAGTTTCAGTGGGGTGGTATTTATGGAGAGGGAGCTCGAAAAAGGAATCTCAGTCTGTCCCAGGCAAGACTGACTAGCTCTTAGACCCTAGCTTTAGAGTGAGAAGGAAAGTTGGAGGCTATTAGTTCAACTTCCTCATTTTCTAGATGAGGAAACTGAGGCTTTACAGACTTGAAGTCATTTGTCCAGAGTCAAACAGCTAGTATGTATTAGATGCAGGATTTGAACCCAGGTCTTTCTGTTTTCAAGGCCACTATTATATCGACTATTCCATGCTAGCTATCAACTGCATCTGAAACTTTGACTTGTGTCCCTGGCTAGGTGATAGACAGGGTTGCTTCAGGGTTAGCCCGGTGACTTACATACAGTAAAATTTTAAGAATTCCCTTTCCATTTAT